AAGTGCGTGACCCCCACACGGCTCCCTGCGGTGCGAGTCCCACTCCTGCAGCTTGAAAACACACCAGCACATTTGCATCTGTGGCCAATCCTGCCAGATGGAGAAGGGGTTACTGCATAAGCGTGCTTCACTGGGGGTGCCCTCTCCCTCTTTCTCTCTAGTGAATACACAAATACATGTACCCTCTGGCGATAAAAGAGCAAAAAAAGAAAAGAAAGTCAAGGTCGGTTTAACATCACAATCGTTTGCTTTTTGGGTTTGTTTGGTTGGTTGTTTGCTTTTTAAAGAGAGTTTTTGATATAGGGTGTGTGCGCTTGCTGGAGAGACAGAGACAGAAAGTGAGAAATCACTCCCCAGGGGGAATGGCCATGCTGCAATCCCTTCTCCTCCATCTCCTCTTGAGATTTTGGGTACACATGCACAAGTGCCCTGCGTGAGTTTTAAGCCACCAGGTCCTGGACTTAAACCATGGTTGACTATGTGGGAGTCCAGCAACATAATCATTATGCTTATCTTCGGGTCCCTCAATAGCACGACGTTAATGTGCTCCTCCAGAGATGTTGGATGTATATGGAAGACTGCAGGTTTGGGTCCCTAGTAGACCTATACACAACCAGGCATGGACACCCTGAAGACTGGAGAGGATCCTGGTATGAAACTTCGTTGCAGTTCTCTCTTATCTCTCTCTCTGTCTCTTACTCCCATGAAATAAATAATTTTTTAAAAATTATTTTATTCAGTTTCATTTATTCATTCATTCATTCATTTTAACTTGACCAGAGAGACACACAGAGAGAGGGAGGAAAGTGAAAAAGCAAGCCACCACGTCCAGGACTCGAACCATGGTCGGCCATGTGGGAGTGTCCAGCACCTTAACCACCATGCCACTTGCCAGTCCCAATAAATAAACTTTTTTAAAAATTTAAGATCTGGGTCCAGCCAGGTGGTGTGGTAATTAAGGTGGCTGGATCCTGACTGTGCAAGAGTCCTGGACCTACGGCTTGTGCGAGCGTGCCCATAATTCCGAGAGGTGAATGGAGAAGAGACTGTGGTGTGGTCATCCCCCCAAGGGTGCTTCCTCACTTACTTTCTCTCTTGCTCGTGCTCTTGTTCTTGCTCTTTCCAGCAGCATACTCACCCTATAACAATTAAAAAAAAAAAAAAATCAGAGTCGTGGGACCAGCAGATGGAGTAATGGCTACACCACTGGACTCCCATGTAGTCAACTATGGTTCATGTTCCAGACCTCGTGGTTCACATCTTGGACCCCATGGTTTAAAACTCATGCTGGGCACATGTGCATGTGTGCCCAAGATCCTGAGAGAATGGAGGAGAAAGGGTTGCAGCATGGCCGTCTCCCGTGAGGGGTGACTTCTTACTTTCTGTCTCTCTGTCTCTTTCTGGCTAGTGCACACGCCCTATAGCAAAAACCTCAACAACAACAACAAAAAAAATCAGGGTCAGAGGGACCAGCAGATGGCATAATGGTTATGTTGCTGAACTCCCATGTAGTCAACTATGGTTCATGTTCCAGACCTCGTGGTTCACATCTTGGACCCCATGGTTTAAAACTCATGCTGGGCACATGTGCATGTGTGCCCAAAATCCCAAGAGGAGAAGGGATTGCAGCATGGTCATGACCCCAGAGGATGATTTCTTGCTTTCTGCCTTTCTGTCTCTCTGTTGAGCTCATGAGCGCTATAGCAAAAATACCCTCTTAAATAAATAAATAAACAAAAAAGTTCAGGGTCTGATCACATGGACCATAGAGGAGAGTGAACTCAAAGAAGCCCCTTCATGCTGTGCTGGCAAACACTTTGAGGATATCCGGTTCCCTTCCCGGTGTCACATTCTAGAAGGGATATTGTCTAACTGGTGCCTGTCTAAAGGATAGTGGCCAGTTGGTCTAGGGTCTGGAAATCATGTTACTATTAACACTTAAGGGACTGAGTGCATTTGTTCAACAGAGGACTTGTGGGCAAGAGAAAAGCTTCTTCTAATGTCTGAAGAGCTTTCAGACAGCCAAGAGAGGATTCTTTTTTAATGAAGTTTTCAAGGGGCGGTTTCGAGTAAGCAGATTTTGTCCCAGTAAATAAGACTTCCCCAACAATTCATATAGTAAAAATGCAACCACGCCCTAGAAAGGAGCCGGCACCAAGCAGCCTCTCCCAGGGCACACCGGAGAGCCATGGTGTGGCCAGTCCTGGCTTCCTCCATGAACCTGCCTGCAACTCCCCAAACACACAGCCTCCCCTGAGGCAGAGGAGGGATTAGTACCGCCTGGTGCTTCCTCTTTCTTCATTTGGGTCTCTTTTCCAAAGCCAGCTCCCCAGAGACTCCTCATTCCCCGTTACTCCCCATTCCCTGGTCTCACTGTGTTTTTCTTCCCAACATGCTCCCAGATGATGCATGGTTACCTGTTGAGTCATTTCCTTTTGTTTGTTCCCTCTTAACACGCTTGTTCCAAGGGCGGAGGGTCTTACTGTCCTGGTCCCTGGCACAGATCAGTGTTCACAGAGCCTAGGGCAGGGACTGCCATCTGGCAGGCCTGCTGTATTTATTTAGTGAACTAAATGATTTCCCCCAAAGAAACAGAGCACAGGATTCAGATGTAGCCTCAGGGAAGAAATTTCAGCAATGTTAAAAATTCACTGTGGTTGTCCATCAACAGATGAAAGGATAAGCTAACTATAGCACACATGCAATGAAATAGTATTCAGCCATAAAAAGGAAGGGAATTCTGACACCTGCTACAACATGAGAACATGCTGAATGAAGTAAGTGAGTCACAAAAGGACGAAACACTCATTCTACTTATGTGAAGCAGAGTGGTCAATTTCTTACAGACAGAAGTATTGATAGAACAGGGGCCAGCAGGTGGGATGATGGTTACGGGCACTGGACTCTCACATGGCCGAGTGTGGTTTGAGTCCTGGACCTGGTGGCTTACTTTCTCACTCTCTCTCTCACTCTATCCCTCTCTGGTCAAATTAAAATAAATAACTAAAGTTAAATAAAATAATTCTTAAAAGTAGTATCAATAGAATGGGTTGCCATAGGCAGAAAAACGTGAGTTAGTTTAATGGATACAGTTTCTTTTTCTTTAAAGAATTATTTTATTTAACTTTAGTTATTTATTTAAATTTGACCAGAGACGGACAAAATGAGAGAGAGAGATGAAAAGTGAGAAAGCGAGCCACCAGGTTCAGGACCTGAACCTCGGTTCACCATGTGGGAGTCCACTGCCCCCAACCACCACAGCACCTGCGGCCCCTGGACACAGTTTCTCTTAAGGGTGAGGAAAAGTCCTAGAGATGGATGGTGGTGATGGTCGTGCAACAATGTACAATGTTGTGAATGTGCTTAATGCCCAGGGCTGCGCATTTGAACATAGCTGAGATGGTAAATATAATATGTATTTTACTACGATATGTTTTTTTTGTGTGTGTGTGTGAGTAATCGACAGAAGGTCGTCTTCCTAAACTTCGGGTAGGAAAAAGTAGAGAATAATTTAAAAAGCGATGAAAACATCTGAACCATTTAAACGGATCAAACTGAAGGTATTTGCTCTGGCTAGAAGACCTCAGGAGTGATTTTAAGGGTTTCCAGGAAGGCGGACCTCTGCGAAGACAAAACAGAGAGGGGAGGAAAGCGATCATGCTCGGTTAAGTGTGGTTTTCTGTTTTAACGAGGTGATTCGTGGGTCTGAAACGGAACCGTCCCCTAAGTGGCACCTCAAGTCTCCGCTTCCCTCCGCGGGCCCCACCCCGGCGGCCCAGCCCCTCCCCTGCACCCTGGGCACGCC